ACTGTTAGGTCCTTTACAAGATTAACATCACCGCTTGTGGGCCTACTCTAGATGTGGGTCCTCAGACTAGAGTACATTCTGTATGACACCAAAGAGAAGCAGACAAGAGCCCTGTCAATGAAGGTCTATTTTCTAATCTATAGAAATAAAGACTTAGGAAGTGAGGAATCCACCAGGCTAACCAAAAGGGACTATCTGGAGGATGCTCTTAGGCACCCACCTAAGCAACCCTCAATCTGCAACCTGCATAGTAATGGAACTTTAGAAGTTAGAATTGCTTCCTTAGAGACAAGTGGCTCCCTCTCTTCTAGGCCCAGATGAACAGACAGAATATGCAGGTGCTGGCACCAAGTCCAGCTCGAGGAGAGATGAAACAAGCACAGAAAAGTCTATTGTCTCATTGTATTCCCTCTTCCCTCTGGTCCTTACTATAAAAGACTCATATGCCTATACCTGATAGTGATTTGATAGGAAACAAGGGCCCTCCATCTCCTTGGAGTTGGCAGCCTTTGGTTTGGTCACCGGGCAACAAACAGACCTGATACAGGGATCTGAGTGGCCAGTAACAACTCCACTTTTTAAGACCCACATAATTCTTTGGAAGACAGGTATCCGAAAACCTACTTTCTGCTGATGCCGCCGCCGCCGCCACTGCTGTATAAATGCCCTAGCCCGTATCTGTGGGGCTATGGGACAACTTCAGGGACTACACACATATGTTCACGAGGCATCACAAAGTGAGAAATGGAGTTAGGAACAGGAAATGAAAAGGAGGTGGCCCAATACTGCATCTCCCTAAATTGTCAAGTTGAGGTATAGAAACCTCAAGAGTGTAAGAATTCTAAATGTAGGCATGTTTCTTCCAGTTATTATAAATACCTGTATTTGTAAGCTTTGTGTACATCTTCAAATATTTAGATATATGGTACAGAGTGTCCATCTGTACTCTTACTCTACCCTATAACGTAGAAGGCAGACTTGAGAAAGTGTTTAATATATGTTAGGGAGAACACGATAAGGGTATCTGCTAGAAGAGCTGGCATGCTTTCGGGAAGTGGTGAGAATACTAGGGTTGGGGGATGCAGGAGGAAGACCTGACCTACAGGTCCCAGGCACCTTTTTCTATTCTGACCCAAAAACCCACCTTCACAGACTAACTACCCACTACCCTCACCTCAATACCTTCCCCTATTCGTTGTTTTTCTTCCTCCTCCTTTGGAATGGGAGCCCTAAAAAAAATACTGATATCCTATTTAGCAGAAGCTGCTTGATTTGATAGGCTATTTTCTCCCCTGGCCCAAATTCTGCCTGAACAGACCAGACGTGTATGACAGCAAGGTGTCTGCAGTTCCAGAGGCTTGGGCTTAGTAATGAGCTAAGATGTGTGTGGCAAGATTGTTCTTGGTAGTAACAATGGGGAAAGAGGGAAGAGAGAAAGCCAGGCATGTTTCTAGAGACTTCTGCAAGGTCACATTAGCAGGACCTTAGTTGAGTCCAAAGTTTCTATGTTTTCACTATGGGAAAGAGACCTGGTCAGGATGTCACAGCTACTCAGCAGCAGAGCCAAGACTACCTCAAAGTCCTCTAAGCCCAGCATAATTATTTTCCATTTTTCCTTTTGGATTAGTATGAGACAGTTCCCCCATACCACCCCCTCCTCTCAGGAGTTGGAAGAGGACTCAGTATCCCAAAACCTACTTCCTCAGAAAAAACTGAGGCTGCTTCCCGGTAAAAGTACTCACCTTTACCTGCTGGAGAATAATTGTTACATAAAAGCTGGAGCTTTAAGCTAATTAAAACCCACCAGGGACAAAGGCTTTGAAATTCAATTTACAACTCAAAAGGATGGGCTGGCTTCTCCAGGCTATTAAGAACCAAAGAAATTTGGCAAAAACAAATTGTATTTCCCAGTTGAAAATTTCAAACAGAAACTTTGTTTAGAGCCAAGCCTCAAAGCATAAAGTAATGGGGGTTTTACAAAAGTGGAGAAGGCCTAAAAGCCCAACACACACTTAGGGTAGATGAGATCCCAATGAGGCATCCTAATAAAAAGAGCCTCTAATTCTGAGTGTTAATGTTTTGTCAGAGGCTTTACATATCTTGCCTCATTTAATCCTCACAACAGTCTGTGAGGAGGTACTTTAATAAGGGAAACTCAGGCTCAAAGAAGTAAAGTAACTGGTTAACAGCAAAGCCAGAACTAGAACTCAGGTCTATATGACTGCAAAACCAGAACCTGTAGGGCAAAACTGTGTATGCACAAATATGCCTTGGGTATTGATTTTCATGGTCAGCCACACACCCTCTCCTTGGTCCTTGCCTTCTCTATTTCTACTACAGTTCCTTGTATTTGCACAGGACTTTAGTGAACAAAGCCAGTCATGTGTATACCCCCTTCCTCAAATTATATGTTAAGATCTAATCCTGGGGGGAGGGGGGGTAGCAAGTTTAACATGTTTCTGCTGCCTTGATCCACCAATGGTTACATGTGTGACTGGCCTATGGGGTGGGGGGCAGATGGGACTGTCCCACACAGTCCCTACGAATCATACGTGTATCACCAGTGGTTCAGAACCACCTGGCTGGGAGACGTATGAATTACAGCCCCATCCTAAACATGTTAATGAGATTAATAGATGTTCTGTCATCCCTGGCTACGTGGTAACCAGGTAACTCTGGACCAAAGGACACTGATCTAATTGGTTGGCTTTCTCCAGAAGTAAGTCTCTCCATCACTGACAGATATTTTCTCATTTTAAACTACCCAGATATCCCCAGAGTTACCTAAAAGCATTGGGTAGTGGGGCCTTTGGGAGGTGAATAGGCACCAAAGTCCTTATGAATAGTTCTAGTGCCCTCATTGGCCCCAGAGGGCTAACTTGCTAATTTCCGCCACACGTGGACAGCAAAAAGACAGCTATCCCTGAATCAGTAGGCAGGCCTTCACCAAAGAATGAATCTGCTGGCCTTGATTTTGAACTTCTCAGCCTCTGAAAACATAAACAATTTCTTATTCTATAAAAAAAAATTCAGTGTTTTTCCACTTTTATTTTTGTTTAAACCTTCACCTCTGATACTGCAAAGTTCCATAGAAGTTTGCTAATATATTCCTAGTAATATTTAAGCTTAAGGGCCAAAAAAAAGAACAGATCATTCAGCTAGATGACAAACCACCATTTTAAAAAGTTGCTAATTATTTGACAGAATTGTTTTTGTTTTTGATTTTAAATGCATGAGTGTCCTTTTAAATTTTTATTACTGTCTATTAACTTTATAAAATATTGAGCTTCAATGTAGTATTTTATACATGCATAACATTTTGATCATACTCATTTTCCTGGTTACTTTTCCTTTTACGTCCCCTCCTTCCTCCCCTTAGTCCCTTCCTTTTACCTAATAATAATCTCCCACTTTTGTGCCATCGTTTATTCTTTAAGATTCCAGCCAGGGATATATTTCAGCAGTACAAGCACCTGCCTGGCAAGCACAAGGTCCTGAGTCTGATTCCTGATACACCTCAGCCCCTCAAAAAAAGATTCCACATATTAGAGAAAACATGTAATATTTGTTCTGTTTGAGTCTGGCTTATTTCATTTAACATGACTGCTATGGCTTATCTATCTAGATGTCCCTGAAAGCCTCACAGGTGGGGCTTTTCAGAGGGGGCTTGATCTAGGGTGTATGACATCAAAAGGCAGGTAGCCTGGAAGGGATAAAAGGGAGAGAGGAAAGGCGGGTCCTGCTGCTTGTTGCCTTCTGCCTGCCCTGCTTTGCCATGAACTGTTTCTCCTCTGTGACACCCCTCTGCCATGCTACCCTGTCAGACAATTATGGCCTGAAACCTCTCTAACTGTAGACCAAATAAACATTTCCTCCTTTAACTTTGGGTGTCAGGTATTATGTCTCAGCAATCAAAAAAGTAACTAAAACTGATGATCTAGACCAACATCCTTTATTCTGACATTATTAGTCCCATTGTAGAGATTTTTAAAAAGCCAAAGATCATCAAAGTGACTTATTTACAACCAGTGAGTGAGGGGGCAGCTAGAGAACTTGCCTGAGATCTAATACCACTGTCTCAACAGCTGTCCCATGCCTCTGATTCTGCCCTTTCTCATTCTGCCTCTCTGATCAAGTCATCCTTAAACACTGGCAGACACTGGCCCCTTTCTCTTAAAAAGTTCATCTCAAAGGAGGAGCTGCTATTTTCAGTCTTTGCTGCTAGTGCTGTCTTATGTCTGTGCTTTAGCTTGACCTGCAGACACGTCTGCTTTTATTCTCCTGCAAGGGTATGACAGTCACAGCAACATTAGATAACCCTGGGGACATCTGGGTGGCTTAGAAGGAAAATAGCTATTTGTGATGTGGAGACTATTTCTGGAGAAAGCCAAGCAATTATATGGATCAGTGTCTAGGGTCTCCTTGGTCCAGAGACTCCTGGTTATAGGCAGCCAGGAATGACAGAACATCTATGAATCTCATTAAGCTCACCAGGCACCTACTCATTAGCATTGCCCAAATGATCACTACTGGCCAGACAGGACTAATTTCCCAAGGAGTGCTCTTTAACTGCTGACCATTTCCATTCCCATGAGAAGTAGCTCCCAGTTTGCCACATGTAGAGGGCTCCTATAAGGGTGGAATTATAAGGGGTGCCAGTTACAGGCCCATAAAAGCTTGCCCTTGGCCCTGCTGTTCTTGGCTCAGTAACCTTAAGTCATGTAATTTCTCTGGGCCAATCACCCCCCATCCTTAAAAGACACATCACTTCTTCTCGGATTACCTTTCAGATCTTAAACAATACTCAAACCAGGCTAATCAATATAAAAGTGATCTGTTGCATCTGTAACAAATTATAAAAAGGATACAGGATGATACCTATTTCCATTATTACCTAATTTCTATCCCCTTCAGTCACTCAACAAGCATTTCCTGAGCACTGGCCCTGTGGAGATACTAAGAAACAAGAGGCCTTGTTAGAGGTCTCGTGTTCTACTTACTTGTCAAGAAGCTTTCTTTCCAGGAATCTGATTCTGTTTTTGTTTTTATCATTTCCTAATAACAAAGAAAAATGCACACAAAGTACCAAAACAGTACAGGCTCTGGAGTTAAAAGGGACTGAGTTCCCAATTCACCCCTACCACTTCGGAATTGCTACCTTGGTCACATCACTTAACTTCATTCTTTACTCAGCTGAACAGGAACTGTATACCAACCTTCCAGGACTAGAGAAAACATGTATGAGGTATAATAAAAATATAGGATGAATGCTTACATTAAAAAAAAAATTATCACAGTAGAATACACATTGCCATTAATTTCCCTCAAAATATTCCCCTTTGCTTTGAAAAGACTTATTCCATCATTCTCGTCACATTATGAAGAGTTTTGGGAGTCCTCTTTCACGTATTTCCAAGGTATGATCAAAAGTATAGTGAATGTCATTCAATGGAAAAGCAGGTTCATAAAAACACTGTGGGTGTTCTCATCCATCCACCTTAATTCACTGGATACGGCACCAAAGTCAACTTCTAGCTCTCCCCAAAGTCAAAATGACCATAAAATGTAAACCTTTAGAATCAATTCAGGACAAGGAAAGCACCACAGTGTAACTAAAGACTGGAAAGAGGACTTTCAGAACTGCTTCAGAAAGTGGTAAGAACAATGGGATAATTACATTCAAAGCAATGTGAAGTGCTGGGGGCAGTGTCAGTCATAATGTGTCTTTTAGTGTAATAATTGTAAGACTTTAATCACTCACTATTCTTTGACTACCCTTGTACGAAGTGTCCAGTCTAATGGCTGGCACCAGTTAGGTGTTAAGGGAAGTGGAGAGCCCAAACGCCCTATGAAAGCAGATGAATCAGCCTGGCATTCTATGTCTTCCACAGGTCATATCTAATGCTCTTTACGTATGCTGTCTCCCAGACCAGCACACTCTGCCTGAGAATAAGGCAGTCAGTGGTATGGAGGGTCTAGTATGTAGACAATTTAAAAAGGTGCCCTGTCCCCATACCTGTCAGAATATTACTAGATGGGGCTCAGAGAGGAAAGAGCCCTGGCCAGGGAGGGTTCCAGACTCTGCTAAACCACTTTTACCCCTCAACTGTACAAGGCTCTAGTCCTGTACACTAACATGGTATAAGTACCTGGCAGACCCCGAGCGCTTATCGCAAAGCAGAAGCAGAGGGCTAGGGTGGGCCACAGTCATCTCTTCCACAGCATGGTCTAGTTATACAGCATATCCTACTTTTTCCGCTGCTTGTATACTAACTCTACTCTAACTGTGACTTTAGGATGAGGCTTACCATCTATGAGAACTCCCCTCAAAGGTATGGGGAAAGGTAAAATTAGAAACCTACAAATGAATGTCAACTTATTTTTGCCAAAGAAGTCCTTTAAAAATCTACCTATCTGCCAGGCGTGGTGGCATACTTGGGAGGCTGAGGCAGGAGGTTCGTTGTGAGTTCGAAATCAGCTTGGGCTACAAAGTGAGCTCAAGGCCAGCTTGAACTGCATAGGGAGACCCTGTCTCAAAAAGACAAAGGAAAAAAAAAAAAAAAAAAAAAAGAAAAACCCCAATAACAACAAACTACCTATCTATCTAATCATAATTATAAAAATCCAAACACTGAGCTAACTATGGGTCAGGTGTTAATTAACAAGTGAACTGTTTTTTTATTCATCCTGTGATTGGTCTGGTACCTGATCTCAAGCAACTCCCAGTCCAGCAGGGAGCATCCACCAAGGGCCACAAAGCACATGTGTAATCAGGATGGATGGAGTTCACTACCTCAGAAACAACATAAAGCAAAGTAGTAGGAAATCAGAGGTTTAGGAGCATCATAGAAGGTCCCACCAAAAGGGAGTCTGACTAGGATGAATTCACACTGGGTAGTGACAAAAGGAACTGGAGAAACAATTTATATAATGTGCCCACCTGGCCATCCCACAAGAATAGACAGTGTCAGCCTGGGAAAAGAAATGTGAATAGGACAATGTCTTCACTGCCATCTCCTGTTTGCGTGATAGATGTACGCTTATGTGCTCTTACAGAAGCACAAAATTTTAGTATGCATCAACCTTATACCAAGCACTTGGGGGAAGCTTTACAGGCATAAACTCACATAATCCTGATAAGGTAAGTAGTATCACTTTCATTTTACAGATGAAGAAACTGAGGCTCAGAGAGAACTTAAGTAATTTATCCAGTCTTAATGAGTTGCAATGATTAGTACCAAAAGACCCCCAAGCTTGTCTGTTGCTCCACTGACTCCTGTCACCCCCAACTCACACAACACAGGAAGAATAATCCCGGCTTTGCTGCTGATGGTTTTAGACTGAGGACCATAAGTGGCCATTCTAGGACTAAACAGGTGATTACAATAAGAACACTTACTGTGGACCACGAACTGTGCTAAGTCTTTTACTATGAGAGAGGTGATACATGTTGCAATCATTTTCACAGCGAAGAAAAAGAAGTAAGGCTTGATGCTTAGTTTTGTTCAAGCCAGGAAGTGGCGGGGGTAGAAAAATCTTGTGAGACCAGAACTGGTCCTCTTAACCTTGGTTCCAAATTATTTCAATGCCGGGTGAGTTCTGTATATGCTTCGAGTCAGCTTTTAACATTTTCTGATCTTTCACACCAAACTCAGGGGCCTAGCAAAGGGCACACTCGCAAGTCCAGGTCAGTACTTTCTATGGGTCTGGAGGACAGCCCCCTCTCCTTTTCCAGCTTTAAGGGGCTGGCTCCTCACAGTGATAATGTAGCAAGACTGCTGTTGGTTGATTATAGCTACTCTTTTCTGTAAATGAAGTTTAAAAGTCATCAAAGGGTTTGTCAGCTGTGACTTATGAGCCTCTTTCCCACAGGGAAGTCAGGCACTGACAAATATCCTTTCTCATTCTGCTATCCATTATAAGTTGGAAGCTGCCATATTCCAATTACTGGAGACCCCGATGCAGCTCATGGAACACCCTACTCCGAGCTGCAGCCATTACTCAAGCCAGGCAGGGCCACTATAGGCCCAAGCCCCACTGTATAAGAATGGAGTAAGAGTGCTTTCCTGGCTTTGTAACTAGCCCTTTCTACCCCTTAACTTGTGTTATCCCTGGTGGTTTACCTTAGACAAATTTTGTAGCGCCATGTGTACTATGTCAAAGCACCCAGAATCAAGAATGCGTAAGAAAGACAGACATGAGGAAATTAAGATCATGCTGCTAGGTGGACTATGCAGGAAATATGATGCTACAAAAGGAGGGCAGAGGATGAAGTAAGTACCTAAGATCCTAAGAAAAAGCTGAAACTGAAATGACCCTTAGAGATCACAGTATATAATCAATGGCCTCAGTATTCATTCAATTCCTTTACATGACAGCCCATCAAGCGAGACACTATGAAACTGAAGATGGATAAAGTATAGGCCCTGCCATTAGGTGTAGATAAGAAAATTAAGGTTCAGGGAAGGCGACTTACTCATGATCACAAAGTAAGTTAGGGTCAATCATGGGATTGGCAGATACCTACCCATTGTGGTTTAGATCTAAAATGCCTGAAGTGTTTAGGAGGTGACTGGATCATGGCAGGTGCTACGCTTAACAGTATATTAATCCACTGATGAGTTCAGTAGCTGAACGTACTGTAAGAAGGTAGGGCCTAGCCAACAGACTTGGGTCACCAGGGGCATGACCTGGAAGGGTATATTCTCTTCTCTTCCCCTCCCCTCCCCTCCTCTCTGCTTCCTAGATGCCATGGGTTGAGCACCTTTTCCTCCACCAGGCCCCTCTGCCACTCTGTTTCTGTCTGGGAGCCAGCTGTATGGACTGCAACTGTGAACCAAAATAAACCTCTCATCCTCTAAGTTGTGGATGTTGGGTATTATGTTCCAGCAATGGAAAAGTGGCTGATACAGTACCTCTAGTGATACAGTGAAGAGGCAAGTGACAAAGGAATCCATCCTCCTGTGAGACTCTCGATGTAGAAGATGGCATAGCTGTCATTCAGATCTTACCTGCTTACTTACTAAATGTTTGACCATGGTAAGTTCTACAACTTTCTAAAATTTCAGAAAAATGGTAATACTTCTCTCAGACCTGTGGTCAGGATTAAGTACAACAATACACATACAGTACCCAAAGGTAAGAACATATTAAATTCCCAAAATATTTACCAATAAATAATCTCTATAAAATTCTTTGAGATAAGTATTGCTAATCTCTTATTAGACAACACTGAGGCCCTTTTCCTCTTTGTCATACTAAATAAGCCAGAGCTTCTGAAAACTATATGTGGAGGACCAATTTTTTTCTTGTATCTAAACTTTTTAAACTACTGATTTTCAATTTCCATACTTTGAATAGCACAGCTCAAAGCCACTCTTGCCTCATTATGGGAACCTCTATGAAACCAAACAAAAAATGAAGTTAAATTTATTTCTTTCTAGTCTTTAGCTCACATTCCTTTAGACTAACCTACAAAGAAACTATCCCCCCCATTCTAGAGAGAAAAATGGTAGGTGGCCAATGGCATGAGTTCTTCTGGAGGTGACTCAGTTTGGTCACCTGCTCTAGGTCATGCTACACCTTACAAGAAAAGATGATCTAGTTTAATAAGGACTGGAAAACCTTGCAAAAGCAGAGGGTCTGAAAAGAGGAAATATTCCTAAAGAAGATGCTAGAACTTTAGGACCATCTCTCCCTTACTAGAAGACATGAGGAAACCAGACAGGAGGCTGAAAGGAACGTTGTAACTTTCCAGGTAGTTCTAACTTTTAGTCTTGTATCATGGCTGTTTGTACACACCAGCCTTCTCTTTTTATCTAGGAAGCTGACAGTAGGGATACAGGCTTAATTCTTGAATGCTACTATGCCCTGTGATTGGCTGCACAGATGAATAACTTAACCAGTGTTAAAAAACACAATAGTATACCTTGAATCTTCCAGGTGGATGGCAAAATTTTTCTAAGTGTACAAAACTTTTTGCTCTAAGCCTATACAGTGTTACCTTACAACATGATCAAAGCTAAGTGGTCACGGGACACACTGAAGAGAGGGAT